ACGACTCTCTTGGGCAGTTATTTCATTCCCAGTTCCTTGTGGGAGTTGAACCTGACAGGATGTTCTTCGAAGTCAACAGGGTCCACGTCATCACTGTGACTCGTGCTTTTGAAATATGCTAGTGTTGGTGGGACTGAGTCGATCTTAATCGAATAGGTTCGAATTCGATTTGATTTAGAGTGTGGGTTAATGTATTCCTCGACATCATAATGGGGTCTCGTTTTAGAGTCTGGGTTAATGAGACAGTTAATGGGGGTTCTCGTTTTGCAGGAGAGACGTCAGGGCTCAGGTCCAAAGTGTGCCGTGGCATTAAATGTCAATGATGTCATCGCAGCCTTGAGATTTCAAAAAGAGACTGGCTATTTATTTGCTGCTAGTTTCGTCACGCCTGCCTGGTATCCATCTCTAAGTAATTGTCAAGCTGCAAATGATAATTGCTCCAGAAAATCCTTCTGCCAAACAATGAATCGACTCTGCGAGCCATTCTGTGCAGTTTTCAGGTGCTTTTGGCAGAAAAAAAGTCATCTGCCAGAGACAAACACCCTCCCGGCAGAAAAAAAACACCTCCCGGCAGAAAAAAACACCTCCTGGCAGAAAAAGCCATGCTGGCTTTCGGAACTGCAGAGTTCGAGGGCTTCTGCAGAGTGCACGCCAGCCTGCTTCAGGAAAAAAAGTGTTTCTGCGGACTCAAAAAGGGCGTTTCTGCAGAGTTTTTCATTCCCAGTGAAATTTCAATGTAGCATCAAGAGCCCTTTTTTGTCGTCTGCTTTTTATTGCTTGGAGTTCTGGTTCTGCAATGTCTCCTAGTTCTTCTGCTGTTTGCAGGTTTGTTGTTGAAGTCTCATCTACAGGGATGGCAACTGATAGTCTATCTCGAATGTACCTTGATGTGTTTGCAACCTCAATGCTTTGGCTCTTGTAGAAAGTTCCAGAAGGACTCCCAAAGAAGGCTTCTCGTCCCAAAAGGGAAAACCGCACTGTGGAGTTGCGGTGTAGCCCCTCCCCCGGTGCTCCAGCATAGGCTCCAGGAAGAGCTGGCTGGTTGGCTACAGCCCCGGCAGCTCCAGCATTGGCTCCAGGTTGAGCTGACTGGTTGACTGCTTGCGCCACTTGCCCCATTGTTGGCTTGATAACACTTGGTTGATGTCCTTCCAGCTTTTCATCATTTTTGGAAAAGAATGATAGCTGGTCATTTTGGAGGGAGTCGCAGAAAGGTTCTTCTACAACCTTTCGTCCAGCAAAGTTGGATTCATTCTGTGCGATTGTTGTTTGCCTTGGTGATGATACTGCAGGTCTGATTTCATCCTGGTTGTGTGCTGGTTCAGAGGCATCCTCAATATGCTGTACTCGCGATAGTGTCATGGTGGCTGCTCTGGCTCTGGCTTCAACAACCTTTAGGACGTCAAAGTTGCTCTCTTGGCGTTCCACTCTTTTTGTGTGGGTGCTTCTTCTTTTTGTCTATCTGATCCCATTTCATTTTCTGTGGCCTCTGAACGCCCAGCGGTTGTGGGGGCAGTGACGGGAGGCTCATTGTCATATCAACTCCCTGTTCGTAAGCATCGGTGAGTTCATCCACATCTACACCCTGTGCCAAGGCGGCTAGAGCTCTCTGCCGCAATTCAACAAGTTTGAGTGGATCCAGCAATTCCTCCTGCATGGTTCTGTGCTTGACCTTTTTTTTACCAAATTTTGTTTATACTCGTAACCCTTGTTTTCTTAATTAATCAATAACTGAGACGAAGTGGACAGATCTGGAACTCCATGCTATGGCGTCGATGGCCTTGGCTCAAGCATGAAGCAGCTTCGTCGCTACTTCGGCTTCCACACCTGCATGCACCACACACGAGGCATGCAAGGAGCAAGGTCAAGACGTCAAGACGGACCACCCTGCAGCATTTCGGTCCCTCATCATCACACCCATCGCGGATCATGTAAAAGCATATGGCAATTTAACCCTCAACCTAGCAAGTTTTGTGAACAGTAATACCGTACGGAGACAGCTACCACTCGAACAACCAAGAGCCTTGGTCAAGACCAAGAGCCTCCAGAGTCATGCACGGAACACCATGGATTTCTGTGGGTGGAACAGCTATCGGTACCGGCAGCAGTAAAAGCTGCATGCTGTTTTGACACTTTGGAAACGGTAGCTAGCTAGCACAAAACAACACCACATCAAAAACAAGCCACCACACCTCATTTTTTGTTGCCACTGCTCCCTCCTCTAAAGTAGATGTACTTTGTCACTCTCATGGTAACATTCAGAAGGTACTCTCCATACCTACTTTGTCAATATTTCCATGCCCGTCGCAGCGGTTTTATCTAGAAGTCCATTTGGTGGCTGTGTAATTACTCAGGAGCTAGCAAACTGGAGGAGTCCATTTTTTCTTTTTCTGGTTCTTCGGTGGTTGTTGACCCAGGGGAAGTCCTTTCCCAAGCCCTAATTCACACAATGGCAACAACAATGAAATGAAGCCAAGGGTATCCAAATCTGTACAGTTAGCTGGTAGAGTCGAGTCGAGTCGGACGCCGAGTCGAGTCGATCGTGACAGTCTCAGTCCATCGGTCGCGCGTCCTCTATGACGATACGATGTCAGTCAATTGTCAATTGCACATCGCTGCTATTGAAGGTGCATATTCGAAAGCCATCCCTCATTTGTTTGTATGGACCATGGGATGGTAGTGAATTCTCTACCATCAACAGGTTGGTTGGACGAGCCGAATGGACGAGTCAAGTCGATCGGTCGCTCCTCTATCGGTCGCTCCTCTACTGTACCAATGAGCCGGTATATTTTATCAAGCCTCAGTCAAACCGAGTACCATGGGATGAACCAGACAGCGAAGCACAACACCCAACACGAAGAGGATTTTATTTCAAGCAGTGGCAGAGAAAGCGGACATCTTATCGGAGCCGTGACGGTCAAGTTGGTGACCGTTGACCTACTTCCATCTTCCATGTTTAGATAATACATTATCTTATAGTTACGTTGTTGTGATGTTATCCTACATGTAGTACTAGTACTAGTTGTTGTGTTGTTGTGATCTGAAGGTTGCAATGACATGGTAGCACCACTACAAGCTAATAGCTATTGCATGTTGTAGCTATCTACAGCCACGGTACCAGTAGCACATGTACAGTCGAGTCGAAAATATTTCTTAAAAGGGTGAAAAAACCGAGAGCCTGGCTCTTGGTCTTTAGGCTGGTAGACAGGGGTCAAGCTAGTTTGTGTCATTGGTTCATCGCATCGCACAGGCCCAAGGGCAATTTTACTCAGGTCCAACTCTAGAGTACTCGAGCAGCGTGGCTATCTTTCACTCTAATGATAGGTTATGAAACTGTTGGCTTGGAGCCATCCAATCTCCCCCACTTCCGAATGCATGTCACATCTGTGGTGTTGCGTCAGCAGACACTCATTTTTGTGGAGCCCATGCAATTTGTATTTTCAAAGATCTTTTTGCTTGTGGGGTTCGGGACCATAGTTTCGTCTTTCTCTTGGCACAACCATCCCTTTGCCAACAGAGTACTGGTACCCACGAAACAGACTCATAGTAGTACTCCTCAGTTATTTTTTTTATTAAAGAGATCTCCAACAAGCAAGATGGCTCATATCTTGACGGCTGTAGAAGGTCAGTGGGTGTGGTGATCTTGTGAACAAACAAAACAGGAGTTTTCTCTTTTGGAGGTCCTCACAATATTTATTTTCATCTAATGTTTCTTCTGCTTGCTTATTATTAGGCTCCACTGTGGATGTGGTTCCCATTCGCCGTGCTCTGATTAGTGTATCGGACAAGACTGGCATTGTGGAATTTGCGCAATTTTTGGCGTCTCAAAATGTGGAATTGCTCTCGACCGGAGGAACCGCCAAGAAATTGCGCGACGCTGGAATGACCGTGAAGGATGTGTCGGAATACACGGGTGCGGCCGAATGTTTGGATGGTCGTGTCAAGACGTTGCATCCCAAAGTTCATGGAGGATTGCTGGCGGTTCGCGGCAATGCGCAACATGAAGCGCAGATGAAAGAACAAGGCATGAGCTTTATTGACATGACAATTTTGAATTTGTATCCGTTTGAAGCTACTGTTAAGAGTGGCGCGTCGTTGGCGCAGTGTGTCGAAAATATCGATATTGGAGGACCTTCCATGTTGCGTAGTACCGCCAAGAATCACAACTTTACTACTATTGTCACGGATCCAGCGCAATATGCGGAAATTCAAGCCGAAATGGCAGCCAACAGTGGTGGAACCACGTTGGCATTGCGTCGTCGGTTGGCGGCCAAGGCATTTGCACTCACCGCCAGTTACGATTCCGCCATTGCCACTCATCTTGCACAAGAAATGGCCAAATTAGAGGCACCTGCTGAACCTCCGACTGTTCCCACGCTCACCAGCAAGGTGGTCGTTCCCCGGGTCTATCAACCCGAATTCCCACTCAAATACGGATGCAATCCCCATCAGAAACCGGCCATGATTCTATCTCGAGCGGGAAGTAAACTACCCTTTGATGTCTTGAATGGGACACCGGGATATATTAATCTCTTGGATGCGGCCAATGCCTGGCAATTGGTGGTGGAACTGAAAGAGGGTACAGGATTGACTGCGGCATCGTCCTTTAAGCATGTCAGTCCAGCCGGAGCCGCCGTGGCGGTACCACTCAGTGACGTCGAATGTCAAGCCTACGAAGTTAAACCGGAAGATCGAGACTCGTTGACACCCAGTGCCTTGGCGTATCTTCGAGCACGCAATGCCGATCCCATGTGTTCCTTTGGAGACTTTTGTGCCGTCAGTGATGTCGTCGATGAAGGCACTGCCAAGTACTTGAAAAAAGAAGTCAGTGATGGCATTGTCGCTCCCGGATACACTCCCGAAGCGCTGGAAATTCTCAAAAGCAAAAAGGGTGGCAAATTCATCATTTTGCAGGCCACGGACAATTATCAACCCGGTGATGTCGAGTACCGTGAAGTCTACGGCATGACATTTTCCCAAAAACGCAACGACGTGGTCTTGACCAAGGAGGACATGACCAAACAAATTGTCACGTCCAAGAATGAACTCAGCGAAGGAGCCATTCGGGATTTGATTGTGGCGTCCATCTGCATCAAGTACACACAATCCAACAGTGTCGGATTTGCCAAGGATGGCATGATGGTCGGGGTCGGTGCGGGACAGCAATCTCGGGTCGACTGTGTCAAGTTGGCCGGACGCAAGGTGAGCACGTGGTATCTCCGACAACATCCCAAAGTATTGGCATTGCCATTCAAGGAGGGAGTCAAACGTCAGGATCGTGTCAATGCTCGTGTGCGGTACATTGAGGGTGATTTTACCGACGAAGAAAAGGTTCGTTGGGAGGCACAATTCAGCAGTCCTCCGGAAGCTCTGACAGCCGAAGAGAAGGCGGCCTTTTTGAAGGAAGCCACGGGAATCAGTATCAGCAGTGATGCCTTCTTCCCGTTCCGTGACTCTATTGATCATGCCTCCAAGGTGGGAGTGTCATTTGTAGCGCAGCCTGGCGGCAGTGTCCAGGATCCACAGGTCACCGAAGCATGCAACGACTACGGAATGGCCATGTGCTTCACCGGAACGAGATTGTTCCATCATTAGGCTGATGCTGATGCATGTGCTTTCATTTCTGCGGTTTCGAATGAAAACAGAAAAACTTGGTGTTGGGAAGGTCAAGATTCATCTCACAAAGGCGACAAAAATATTCCACCACGGCAGAATCCGCGGCTATCTAGTAGATACTGGCAGTGTCGTCTAGCTAGGAGTTCGTTCATTTAGACAGGAATTCTTTAACTCTATATACTTGTGTATTGAGAACGAGTTTCGATTCTATTTCCGATTCGTTCATCATTGACAACATGGAACCATCCGCCAAGCTTTAAAAAAATGTAATCATGCACCATTTAAAATTCTCCAAGTAACCAACACAGGCATGCATCCGTACCGGTAGCAACAATCGAGTCATCGACACACTGTACAATCCTGTTCCTTCCTCATCCGCTTTGATCTCACCCGCACTGCAACGCATCGAATATACCAAATGATTTGCCGTGAAGAAATCGTCAAAGTGGCCCGTCCGTCCAATCCATCCAGCCACCTTGTTTTATTTAGTTGTCGTCATCGGTGCTGTCATCTTCATCCGTCACGACATCGGTCGCATCCGAATTTTTCCTCGTCATTGGTTTGCCCTCGTTTTGTGGCACCGAAACTTCGGGTGCGAGTGGCTGGTAATGGTAGAGAGTGGGCGCTCCTCCCGTGTGGATAAAGAGAATGTTGGATCCTGCGGGGAACGTTCCTTGACGGACCAAGTCCAAAAATCCCGCCGCCGCCTTGCCACTGTAAACGGGATCGAGCAAAATGCCTTCGGTACGGGCAAACAGAGTGACGGCTTCGGCCATTTCGGGAGTGGGCAGACTGTACCCGGGTCCCACGTAGTCATCGTAGACTGTCACGGCATCGACGGGCAATTCTGCAGCAGTGTCGCCGAGCACATGCTGGTACGTCTTGACGGCCAATTTGTGAATGTGATCGGTCTGTTTGTCCTTGGGGTGACGCGTGGATATTCCAATAATGGGGATATCACAACGAAGGGCCGTCATGCCGGCGACCAATCCAGAATGGGTCCCACCACTGCCCGATGCCGTGACAATCGCATCGAATCGAGGTAGCTGTTCTTTGAACAGTTGGTACTGTGGTAAACCATAAAAGAAAATGAAGGAAAGAGAGTGTTGGTTAGAAGAGATGAAGGTGCAATCAATTTCTTTTTTACGTTTTTATTTCTTCTTCTTACCTGAATTTCTTGTGCACAGGCACAATATCCCGTGGCCCCAATTTCATTGCTGGCACCTCCTGGGCAAACGTAGACATTGCGTCCTTCCTGTTCTCGTAGTTCTTTGGCCCATTCTTCCATTTTGGCAGGAGCTTCACCGAGTCCTACCTGGATGATGCGTTCGACACCCAACAAATGGAACAAGTAATTATTGCCCGACGCATCTTCCTTGTAAGAATCGGGAACCCGTTCTTCAATGACCAAACAACACTTGAGTCCTTCCTTGACACAGGCACTTAGTGTCAAACGACAGTGATTGGATTGTACGGCTCCACAAGTGACAATGGTATCGGCGCCTTGAGCCAAGGCATCGGCCATGACAAATTCCAATTTGCGCGTCTTGTTGCCACCACCGGTTAATCCCAACATGTCGTCTCGTTTGATCCACAAGTTGACCCTGTCATTGTCATTGGAAACGGCTTTGCTCAAGCGAGGCATATATTCAATGGGAGTTTCGTGAGGGGTATACTTGCGGCGGGGGAATTTCGTCAAGTCCATTTTTGATTTCTTTTGATGGTAGAGTTCTTGTAGAGGTAGCTAGTTATAGATAATAGTTTGTTTTGGTAGAGTTTTTGCTTTGTTTTGTATTTTGTGTGATTGTCGGGATGGGTGAGTTGAGTGGATAATGAGCTGACGTATTGGCTGGTTGGTGGTGGGTAGGTTTGAAAACAAGTGGATGGGTATCTTATTTTATAAATTGGAGGAAGTGGAGTACTCACTCGAATGATCGCTTTTCATTGGATCAATCTTGCCGTTTTTCATATCCAGCTACTAGCTATTATTAGCTAATAATAACAGATTCGATTCAACATCATTGTATGTGTGTGGAGTTGACACTCGTGGCATTCACAACAATGATGATGATGATTCGCAGAAGATGACCAATGAAAATTGTGGTGGGAGTTGGTGCCGACGAAAAGTGAGGAGCCTTCCGCAAAACGGGCGCAAAGCGATAGTTCTGAACATGTGGTACCACTAGGATTGGAAAGATACTTAGACACTTCAAGTTTAAATTTTGAACTTGTCTAAGTATCTTGTCAGACGGTTGACTATTGTTAACTGCTTCATGACGTCCTCCTTTGAGTTCCCATGTCAAAGTGGGAAGGAATTGTTCCGAAACCAGAACAGAATTTCATTTCCTCAAATTCTGCTCACATTTTTGCGAATTCTCGTGCCTTGCCCGTCATCATGTTCCGACAGATGGCGTGTAATTCGAAACACTTTGGAGAAATGCTACACTGTACAGGTTCAATCTCGCTTGCACTCCGAGTGTGAGGAGTGGGTTTGGCGGAAGGACCAGTTTTGCTGAGTTCACGAATGTTGAATCCCATGAGAGAGGAATAGAACGAGATGGAAGACTGGAGAGAAGCAATGAAGGCAGAACTCGGTTCCTCCTGGAGCAGAATTTGTTTCTCTGTGGCGTGTTGACTGGAGTTTGAGGCATGCCGATCGGCATACCTTCGTGTCATTTTGCTTCAACGTGCCATCATCAATCCCATTAGCTTCGCACAAGAATAAGAATTCCATCTGTGCCTCTCATCTCTATTCACAGTCAGCTTTTTCCAGGGGCCACTATAAAAGTTGCCTACAACTTCACAACTGTTCTCTGAATTGCAGCACTTTTTGACAAGTTTCTGCCTTCGGCTTCCGAATAAAACAGAACAGAATTGCTCGTTGGCAGCTGTGTTGCTGTGTTGGTAAACCACTCATTCTCTATTGACCTTGCCAGAGTATTATACAGGAGCGATTGCTTGATCCCATTGATTGGCATTTTTGTTTCCCACTACTTGCTTTTGTGCAGGTTTCATTTCATTTCATTTCATTGGCATTTCCTTCTCATAGAAATACAGATACAATTCTGATACACTAGAAAGACACACAACATCAACAAATACAATACAACAGAATACAACACATCAAATCAAGCCTTCCTAACGAATAGATCACCATCATCATCATCCATCATCATGACTAACACCAATACCACAAACAACACCAAGAAGCGAGATCGCGAAGAAGAAGAAGAACCAGATCAAGCAAGTCCCTACCAAGAACTAAAATGGAATCACGCTCCTCCGCTGTTCCTCAATGACAAGTTTGACAATCCCAACGAATTGCTGCAAAATGAAAAGACCACTCCTCCCATTCACGCCGGTCGCACAGCCTTACTCGTCGTCGATGTCCAACCGGAATATTGGAGTCACTGTCCCGCCGTTCGTCAAGATTTCCCCGACTTTCCCAAACACTTGGAACGACTGGTTGCTCAATGCCGGAAACAAAAAGCCAAGATTATCTGGGTCCGCGCCGATTATCGCTATGCCCATTCCCCGTGGCTCGTCCAGTTTGCCCGGTTGCATCAAGGCACCATTCCGGCCGAAGTCCACAGCAGTGCCAGCGATTGCGAAACCATTCCGTGGGAAGATTTTGCCACACCGCAGGGCGGAGAATATGTCATTCCCAAAACGAGTTGGTCGTCGACGCGTCATACGGCATTGATGGATTTGCTCAAACAATCGGGCATTGATACCGTGCTCGTGTGTGGATTGATTACCAGTGTCTGTGTGCAGCATTCGGCCTTTGGTATTTTCGAAGCGGGCTATCGGACGTTGCTCGTCACGGATGCCTGTGCCGATCGAGGCAAGGCACGACACGATGCTGCATTGGCGTTGTATGGGGATTACATGTACGAACTACTCACGGTACAAGATTTGTGTCAAAAGGACAAGCCATTCTACTTGCGGCCGGCACAACCCGTCTGGTTGACCAAGGAAAGTGTCGACAACTTGGTCCAACCAACTTTTTTCAATTCGTTGCAAGATTCCATTGTCACCAAACAACACGAAGAGCAACACGAAGAGCAAGAAAAGCCGAATAAGGTGGCCAAAGTCGACCATCATCCCATCTTTTATAAAATGCCCACAACAAGAACAACGGCAGCCACGACGGTCAGTGTCGCCACGGAAAAGCAAGACAACAAGAAAGTCACCATTCATCCCACGGACAGCAACAGCAGTCTCAGTACGATGACATCGCCAGTCCTCGCGGGTGCCACCGAACCACCGGCACCGCCTGGAACCATTCGAGTCTAGTGCTGTACTGTACTGTACTGTACTGTACTGTACTCTATGGAACCAGGCAGTGTTCCGAAACACAACAGCAAGCTACCATCCTCGCCCACCAGTGTACACAGTCCTTCACTGCACCAACCACCACGCCTTTTCGTTCCCACACCAGTCAAATCCAAATATATATATACATATATATTCACTCCTGTCTCGCCCTTTGATCATTTTTTCACATCAGTATTCCATGCATTGATTCATTCACCAAACAGTTTTGTGTATCGTAGACGACTATACAGTAGCAGTATAAGAAGTATAAAAAATAAATGTTAGGTTTACAACTACTATAGCTAGTAGGGCGCATACCGGTAGCACACTGTAATGGTTGAGTTGTTTGAGTGTGCCGTACGTGGGATCTGTTACTAGAAGTCTATAGAATCAGATGATTCTATAGAATGAAAAAAAAATCTGTAGAATGGTCTGATTCTATAGAATACTTGAGGGAGGTATACTAGAATTCTATAGAATCAGATCAATCTATAGAATCAAAGTATGTGAGAATCTGTAGAAATCTTATTCTATAGAATCATACATCATATTCTATGGAATCACACATCATATTCTATAGAATCCATTAAATTTTCTCTTGATTCTATAGAATCATCTTCAATTTTTCTGATTCTATAGAATGAAACATGAAAATCTGTAGAATGTTGTTGCTCTGTGATACTACCGGTAGTACTGTTGTTGCCATTGGACGACATTGAGGCTGGTGATAGGGCATGCATCAATCCACAGACTTGACTCTCCTCTCTCCTTGTTATCCGGATCGATCGATCGATCGATCGATTGATTGATCGTGGACAATGGTTGATGGTTGATTGTTGCTCTTCAAATTCCACCAACTTGAATGTCAGTGGCCAAGAACTGACTGCCATCCCATGGTCCATAGAATTCAATGAGGGATGGCTTTCAGTTCTGCACCGGAGACGGTCGGCTTGAGTGAGGCTTGATAGAAGAGGTGCAACGATCCCACGAGATCTGACTGCCTTCCCTCAGTCCATAGAAATAAATGAGGGATGGCTTTTGAATCTGCACCTTCAACAACACTCTTGATAATCAATCCATTGATAGATTCAACAATACCGGTACATGTACTCTTATTGTCGGTCAAGCTCCATATTCAGTCAATGAAGGAGAGAAGACTGATGAGGCTGTCAATTCTATGAGAAGTCAGTGCTTTGCCTTCAATAATACACTTGATAATAGACTTACTTATTGCAATACGACTGTAGTAGCAGTAGCAGTAGTAGTACATGTAGCAGTAGCAGTAGCAGTAGTAGCGATGGATTGATCCACTATCCACTGATGAGGCTGTGGCACAACGCCATGTGTTGCTGCTGTGTTGTTTGTTGCTCTTGCTGGTGCCGCTGTGGAAGGGTGCTGTGACCTTTCTGTGCCCTTCCCATTCTATAGAATGAAAACCGCTGATTCTATAGAATGGTCTCTGATTCTATAGAATGGCAAATTCCATAGACTTCTAGCATCAGATCTTCAAAAAGCATTCCCTCACATCGCATGCAGTGATCGCTTGCGTGCATAGCATGCACAAAGTGTGGGTGCGAACTCGAAGACAGCTGTACCGGTATCATGGTAAATGCGGTAAATATAGGGTTGCAGACATCAATCTCACCAAACAATTTTAAAATTATGCATATATATGTGTTTGTTCTTTTGTTTACCTCATCTGCCAAATCTAAAAAACTGTATCCAGGTCTCAGACTCGATTTTTTGTTCGCCGCTTTTTGACTCGGCTTTGGGCTGGGTCTCTTCTGCCTCTACTGTACACAACCATAATCTGCTTCGATACCATGCAATGAAAGCATCGCCGCCTGTCCCTTTGCGGTATCCTCTCATACAGTACGTACAGTAGCCTTGATAAAGATAGATTGTGCAGTAAGATGAAGAGCCTCCTTGTGAAACTCCTGTTTGCTCTTTGTTTCTTGGTGGCAGCGACGACGGCAGGCCGCGCGGATCGGCTGGGAGCCCCTCCTTACGACCGCACCCTGGTTTCTGAAGGGAACAACTACACCGTCGAGAAATTTTCGAGCGACAACATTACGTGGGCACCAACTGCAGCACCGAGTTCGCAAGCCAAGAAATCCAGTAGCTTTTGGCTGTTCTTTTACCGTGGCATTGTCGGAATCTACTGTTCTCCAGCGGTTGTGGGAGTTGTGGCTCTGACCATTTTGGTAGCATACTGGGTTGTCATCTCCTACCTTCAAAGAATCTTCAAGCGTGAGCCACCCAAGCCCAGGGACATCCCAAGGGATTATGGTCAAGACGACGACGACGACAACAACAACGACGATGATGATGAGTCTCTGTCTCTTCCCGATTGCACCCCCAAAACGGTGGACACAGCCACGAGAAGTTTCTGGTCAGACCATGGCATTTCACTCTCCCACCCTTCTATGCTCTGCAAATGGTCCAGCAAGAAGAAGCAAGAGGATGGCGAAATGTCTCCTCAATCTCAGTTTGATCGTCATATGGCAAACATGCATAGAGTGGCAGGGATTTATCATCTGGTATCTCAGTGGAAGAAGGCTATTCTTTGGCTGCTTCTCTCCCTGATGTCGATTACAATTGTACTGGTGGGGTTCCCAGTTGGATCTGCTACAGTGGCAATTTGCTGTGTGCACAGTTGTCTTCTTTTGTGAGTTATCCTCCAATATGGGCTACCTTTGCTGTGGCCCTCTTGATCATTGCGGTTCTCTTTGGGAGCTCCTTGCTTGGGTTGTTTGTACCATTGACTTTATTGTCATTTTGGCTGTCAGTACATTGCTCTTTGAATTGCAACCAAATCAAAGTTGAGGTTCAGGAATTCGAAAAGCAGATGGCCTTCCTCGGGCAAGTCCGAGAGATTGCCAACCAAGTTCAAATGGGATCAACTTCTGCTGCAGTTGGCCTCCCAGCTGATTGGTTCTACCTGTCCCCAACAAGAACTTGCTCTGTTGGGAATGAAGAGGCAACTTACTTGTACTTCACCCCCTGTCAGAGCACTGCTGGGGTTGAGGGGTGGTGGATCCGGAGATCCTCTAGGGCAGATGAAGATGTGAAGGAAAACCTTCAGAGCAAAAAAGCGAAGAGCATCAATAGCTGTCAGCACTACCAGTTTCATGTTCGGGAAGGATTCTTGGCAATCACAGGAGCGCCTGAAAACGGGACTCGCGAGCACCTCTTCCGCGAATCCGCGACTCGCGCGCGGCCGCGGCGCGAATCCGCGAGCTCGGCCGCGAATAACCGCGAATAACCGCGAAAATCCGCGAGATTTAGGATGCCACTTTTAAAAGATATAGAGGAGTTGGTTCTTAAATCTCGCGGATTCTCGCGGTTATTCGCGGTTATTCGCGGATCGGCGGATCGTTTCGTGGATCGCGGATTCGTGGAAAACCGTTAAATCCGCGGATCGTGCCACGATTCGCGGATTATCAGCCGCTCCAGGAGAAGCGTATTGGGTCATGCAGCACCGGACCAGCAAGGACAACTCGACTGTCTTTCAAGGCAGCAACGACCCTGAATCGCGAGGTTTCATTGCAGAATCCTTGGCACTCTCCGGAAGTCGAGATCCCATTTACAAGCTTACGCAGGTGTCCAGCACAGATTCAAGGACGCATTACTGGGTTTCCTGCAACAGATGTGCCAACGTTCCCATTCATGGAACAAGGTTTCGGGCCAGTAGTCAGGACTATAATCTTTGTCAAACTTGTATGGATAACTATGATGAAGTGGACAATACCACACAGGCCCTTCCACCCCGAGAGAATTTTTTGTTGCAGTCTCGAAGCCTGTGTCGAATCCTTACATTTTAAACCTCCAGCAGCTTTCGTTGCCTATTCCTGTCTGGGCAGGATAAACCTAAGAAGCTGTTCGATCAGGGTAAGCTCCGACTGAGTAGTCATCGGAAACTCTCTTGGAGGAACACTTTTTAGTGTTCCAACAAGGCTACCGGTACGGTACTGCTACGGTACTCGGCGGTGGTAGCTGGTAGCATATCTTAGTTAGAATGATCCAGTGCTGAATACGATAGAAGTGAAGCTAGCATGTTCCGATTCCGTTCTTTTCAATGCGTCTGTGTTGGAAAGGTGATCTTTGAGTTGTGCTGTGCGGGAGTTGATGTTTCCTTGTGAGCTCGGGCACAATACCGCGATCTTCGCATGTGTTCCTTGGGATCAGCCGGCCTCGCCCGCCGCACCAAATAAATGATCCGATGCTTGTCTTCTCACAAAATCAAAGACAACACAATCAAACAATCAAAACAATCAAACATCAAACTATCCAGCCTAACAAACTATCCAGAAAACAATGGTTTCCATGAAGACTTTCGCCGTCAAGGAATACAAGAATTTCGGTGACCTCTCTGCTCTCAAGGAGTACCAGGTCCAAAACCAGTTGCGACTGGAAAGGATCTTCTCATCCAAGTCAAGGCCGTTGCCACCAATCCCATTGACTACAAGCGCCTTGCAAACCTGGGAAAGCATGACGAGGACTTTGAAGCACAAGAACCCCTGACTGTCGGTTGGGATGCTTCTGGTGTCGTGGAGCAAGTTGGTGATGAGACAAGCCTCTTCCAGGTGGGCGACGAAGTCATGTTCGCTGGAGATTTCTTCCGTGCCGGTGCATTTGCCGAATACGTCCTGGTAGATGACCGTATCGTTGCAAAGAAGCCATCCAAATCGTCCTGGAGCGAAGCTGCGGCCATTCCTCTCACGTCTCTCACCGCTTGGGAGGCTCTTGTCGATCAGCTCAAGATCCCCGAAGACCCCGAAAAGAATAAAGGCAAAACCATTTTGATAACCGGCGGAGCTGGTGGTGTCGCTTCTTCTGCTGTGCAGATTGCGAAGAAAGTCCTCGGGCTCACCGTCATTGCCACCGGATCTCGCGTCGAGACGGTCAAGTACGTCAAGGAGCTGGGTGCGGACCATGTCATCAACCATCGCTTCCCCAGCATGTCCGCGCAAGTTCGCAGCGAATTAGATATTGAAAACGTGGATTACATCATGCATTCTGTGGACTTGACTCCGGAACTCTTTACCGAGTTTGTGGACTTGGTCAAGCCCTTTGGTGGCATTGTCAGTGTGTGGCCATCGGCTACGGTGGATTTGATGCAGTTGTTCTGGAAATCCATCAACTTTTCCGCCGTCCTCATGTTCACCCGTCCCACCCTCAAGAACGATGCCGCCCAGCGCCAGCACGACATTCTGGAGAGGGTTGCCGAGTTGACCGATGCTGGTGTACTGGTGAGCCGCGAAAAGACGACGTTCAAGTTGACTCTGGATAACTTGCGCAAGGCATTGGAACTCCAGGCTTCGGGCAAGGCCGTTGGGAAAATCACACTTGCCTTTGAAGGCGTGCAAGCATGGAGCTGTCGCAGGAGTTGAACTAGCTATCAGGTACCAGGTACCTACACGATAAGCTTGTAAAATCGTAGCTAGAGAAATCTATATACAGCTATAACGCGTTCAAGATTAGCTAGCCAAAAGATTCTATCACTTTGCTTCCAACAATCTTGCATAGAGTATGTACAAAGAAGGCCACGGCATGGCAAGGGCAGCCAGTTGCCCAGCTTTTTACCAGAAAAAGTCCACCAACGAAGGAGCCTTCCAGGGATCCCCTCTTCCAAGCAGAGACTTTGACAAATTCACAATCTTCTTACCCAGCTGGACATGCAGCTCATCCGCTGCCACTGGGAGAATGTTGGCTTTGGGAGGTTTGCCCAAGATGGCATTGGCTGCTTCAATCCCGGTGACAAAGGCTTTTTCTTGCGACCAGCTTCCATGGCGAGAGCGGACAATGTCTCCAGCAAAATACAGATTGCTGATTGCGCTGGAACGAGTGTCAGGCATATCTTGGTACGAACCTGGAAAGTACCAGTTAACGCCTTGTGGGAGTCTAACCACTGCCGCGTCTACCACGGAAGCGCCTCGGCTGTCAACCAGGATGCGATCTAAATCTCGTTTCACCTTGGCAACAATCTCATCATCACTCAACACTAGGAGCTTGTTGGCATGATAGTAGTCCACTTCAATCACAGCACCGGGAGCACCTGCGACGGTAGAAGCACTGTCTCCATGCAGTCCCTTAATGTCGAACACAGTCATACCGATTGCAGCATCAAATCCCCAGCAGGCGTTTGCCGTGTAAGGAATCTTGACGTCCTTATCGAGAAAGACCCGAGTGGCCAAGACACTTGTGCCCCGCAAGTTGGCAAAGCGAGCCAGATCAGGAAATTGTGCCAACTCTGGGCAGTACTGCACAAAGTTGTTGAGTGCTTTGGCTCCCACGGCCAACACAACATCATCCGCATCTATCGTGGATGCATCACCATTGTCCTTGACCTTGACATGGCTGATTTGTTGTGTCTTGTCGTCAATGGCAAATCCAGTGACTTGAGTGGACGTCTTGATTTCCACTCCCTTGTCTTGCAGATCTTTGACCCACGGAGTAAAGATGACATCCCCAATGTTGCCACGACACCACTGTACGTCAAACGCCGTTTGACTTTGCAAGACGAAAAAGTAGGCCATTCCCAGTGCCGCGGCGGCACTGCACTCGCCTCCCGGTGCAAACAAGCCCGTGAGGATCATGGGTTCAAAGGCTTCATCGTAGCATCGTTTGGAGACTCCCAACTTGACACACAAGTCCCGAAAAGAGATTTGATCGTATTTCTCCCATGCTTCTGGTGAGTCATCAAACTCGGAAAATGCCAAGACGAGAGGGAACGCCGTGATGCGATCCAGCAGTGGCAATTTGAGGAATTTCGTAAAGGCCGCTTGTGCCAATCCCGTGGGCAGAGTGATGGGTTGATCCCGGTAAATGGGCCAGACTGCTTCCAACCCGTCTGGCGAATACTGTCCTTGTTCCGCATAGTCTGTGAGTGCCGTCTCCAAGGTAATGCCCGGGATTTCATTCTGGAGTAAGCGGTAGATATTATGGTAGTTGTTCCAAAATCCATGCTGTCCGGCTTCGGCAGGGCGAGCCCCCGACGTGGTGGTGAATCCGTCTCGTACCAATCCACCCACTCGAGGCGATGCCTCTACTAGCGTAACTTGGACATTCTCTTCTTTGGCGAGTGCATGTGCCGTGGACAATCCACCCCATCCTGCTCCAATGACGACAACTCGTTTCTTTTTGCTGGGATTCGTTGCTGTGGATGGTTCGTCGGTACTGCTGTCAGTATTGACATCGTCTGGAATTGAAGAAGATGTATCGGGTGGCATGGAACTGTCGACCTCCGACGAATCCTCCTTTGTTGTTGGCTCCTCAGATGGATCATCGCCATCCTTGATGGTCGATTCTGTTTGCTTGGAACCCTCGACTGTCACTCCCAGTTCTGATTCTTCTGATGCTTCCTCTTTACTCTTAGTAGATTCCGATGGAACTTTTTCATCCTGACTAGTAGTTGGTTTTGCCTGCTTGTCTTCCGGCTCCTTCTTCTTTGATTTCACGTCATTTGGAGGTGGGCCAGAAGCGGACGACACTGTGTCTTTTTTCTTCTCTTCTGGTGCTTCACGCTTACCACTGGCTTTGACTGGTTTGCCATCGTCATTGCCACTGCTGTCCTCCCCGCTTTTTCGGTTCTTCTTCTTTTTCTTTTTGGAAGCGTACAGCCGGCTGACTGAACTTCTCGGCGAAGCATCAGATGGCGAGACAAAGTCATTGAAGGGACTGAGAACGAAAGCATTGCCAGTGAACGCTCTCGAAGGAACAGCAGCCAATGGCGAGAACGCCTCCAAGCACTCCAAAGCAATGCAGGATGATAGCAGCAACACAAGAGCTGCCTTTTCCAGCCGTCTGGAGCAGGAAACCATGGTGAAATTAGCTTGTTAACTAACTAACTAACTAACTAACTAACGAGCTAGCTAGCTAGATGACTAGATAGATACATTGTGGGTGGCTACGGCATTGCTGAACCAACCACCGCACTAAATCGGGAAACGCCATTGGGGCGAAATGGCGGAAACGCAGACTGATGATTCAGCCTTTGGATTTTCCTCTCATTGAATGACGTCACCAATGTGGACTGGAAGTAAAACGGTCGAGCTGCAAACAAGGTCAAACACTGAGATCATCGCAGTCCTCCCGGTGAATGACGTCACCCGAAAGAGGTGGATAGAAATAAAACGGTAGAGCCGCAAACATGTCAGTTCTCAAGTATCAAGTACTGTGGCTGTTCTTATCTGGACGGTTAAGATTAGATTCTGGTAGGACAAACATGAAGAAAATCTCAGTAGCCCAGACATCCAAATCGATCTTCAAGTGAGTCCTAAAGGATTTAGAGTCGTACCATCCTTTTATAGCTCATTTCCCTGGTTCTGACTTGCCGGTATCGTGAGTTCATTGAATTAAGGAAAGCACCTTGAAGTGTGATGAATAGCTTGATCAGCCGCGTGATATCTGAACGTAACGCGTTTGGTGGGAGCAACGGGAACACGTACTACCGTACGACGGTAGCTGCTCGTACGGTAATGAGCCAGCCAGCTAGCTAGTTTGATACTACGCCACCTACTACTAGCTAGCTAGAGCCACTAGCTAGCTAACTGGCCTACAGTATCGCTTTAGATGCTGTACTAGAAGAGCTACTAGAAGCTGCTCGGAAGTATGCAGGGTACAGCTAGCAACGTGTAAACACAAATGTTTTACTCAGTATGTTCGACGTCGACGTTCGACGTTCGACAGCTTCATAAGCTTCAGAGGAGAAGGCCATTCCTTTGTACGGTAGTTTCATAAAAGAGGTAGGTGCTATAATAATGTTAAGTGTGTTTTTATTGTTTTACCCCAACTACATTTCGGAGTTTCTTTTGAACAAACCGTTCTGTCTATTGGTGAACAGGACCATTACCGCAGCACCGCAGCAAGCGATGTTGCGTCACTGGATCAACAGATACTAGATTAGTACCAGAGCTCTACTATTTTGTACATGTAACTAGTAGCTACAAGAAGCCGATGTTCAATCCCATTTGCCAGTTTCATTCAGTTTTGAGGAATAATTCATGCTGGCACTGCTCGGCCCCCTAACTGTGTTCGCAAAGTGGGTCGCATAGCTGTCGCACCCAAAAAGTCGAAAAGTCGAAGCAACAGCTAAGCAACTCGCTGATCGCTGATGTGCTCTACTAGCTAGCTCTCTCCCTGCTGCCTTGGCCTACAGTACGGTACTGGTCAGCCGCGGAAGTACATACATGTATGTAGCTACCGGTACAACGCTAGAACACCACGAACTGCCCCTTTCGTCGCTCGGCTAGATTACAATGCCAGACAGGACAGATGATGGAACGATACCAGCTATGAGACACTGGGACTGGCGTAGCGGTTCGGAAATGAATTTCACCAGCGTTCATTCAAATAAAGCCGACTTCACCAACCGCAACAGCTCTGCCACTGTCCAAACCTAGTCAGAGCCAAGTGTCACGTGCTATCAGCTCTAATCCGGAAACCCAGGACCATGAAGAAGACAGCTATTCACACTTGAGAACACACCGACTTAAGCATCGATCTTGCCAAACCTAAATGAGAAGGACTCTGTGACTCCTGGGGAACTTGAAAGATAAAAGGTTGAGACAGATAGACAGAGTCGGCAATAATGACTTTGAAATGGAAGGCTGCTGTTTTGCAGCCGAATGAGTTTGCAATTGTACCAAGGGCCTAGTACACTGGACAACTGGCTATTAGTTTCTGGCCTTCAGCACACTTCATAGCCTCCTCCAGCTGCACTCTTCAGCCTCTGGCTGCAAATTCAAGGCAAAGTTTCTTTGGAGTCCAGAGAGTTTACAGAAATGCAGCATAGAAATTTTTGGGAATATAGAAAGTCCTTAGACTACTCAAAAGTAAATATATTTGACTTTTTGTTGAATTTGATTATTAGTCTATGTTTCTTGAAATTGACATCCCCTTTGTGTATGCTTCTGTGTCTTTTGAGTACCAGTTCCAATAAGGGAAATCTTTTCTGCTATCTACCAGGTACCGGTACAGGTAGTTGTGAGACTTGGAGATTGTGAGGCTTGGAGAGCGTTTGCAGGCACTCTCTGAGACCAACTTTCATTTTAGGTTTCTGACTGCAATCACCATGGTGTCGTTCCAACAAGACAAGAGACTCATGTTGGCAAAGCCTGAATGACTAGCTACCGGTAGCTAAACATTCTGCAGCAGTTTTGTGTCAAATTCCCTCTTTGTCTTCCAATCCTCCCAGAAAGTTTCAATGCTGGCGTTTCACACTGGCTAGCTAGCTAGACTATTAAAATTGCAGCTTGCCAGTTGAACGAGTCAATGATCTGTGAAATTTGGTAGATTGTAGTATTTAGACATTTTCAATACTAACAATACAGGACACATTATTAGGGTCCAGCTGGAAAGCAAATTGGTCCAGATTCTAGCAAGAAAGCTCAAGAAAACATCATCTAGTTGCAGTTCGAGTTTTCGTTTTTCGTAAGCATTGCTTGACTTCAAGTGACCCTAGATCAATGAGCATCAATGTCTGGTTGAGGGTTTGAGGGTTCGACCCCAGCAATTTCGTTTCATCTAGCATTATTTTTGCATTTTTGTCCTACGGGAGATCTCGAGTAGGATGCTACGACCGGAGTCCTTCGCATTTCAGCACTTATGACAGTCATCACAATAGTTGCACGGAAAGCTTGCTGCCTGAGGAGCAACACTCCAGGGACTGATCCGAACTCATATTTCAATAAGCTCTCACAAGTGTGAGCTACCGGATCCATCTGACCACATATCCTTGGAAAAGTTGCTAATGCATTCATTCTCACTCATCAACTCCGACCTACTTTATAACATGGACAGAGGAGCCCAAGGAGCTCATAAAACAGACAACGAAGAGTTGAAAGAAGCAAGTGACCACAGCAGCACCACCAACGAAAACGCCAGCACCATGATCAATCCCTTCATCCACAACACTACTGACCGTGCTACCAACAGCGCCAATGATGCGGCTCCCAGAAGCCCCATGGCTTCAATTGCTGCCGCTCCTGTCGTCGGTAAGGCCGTGGATCCAAGCCACTTTCCCACCCAGCTCTACAAGATGTTGCAAGAGATTGACAACAACTCTGGCGCTGCCGCCGAATTGGCAGACGGCGATGCCTTCTCAAGTATTGTCTCCTGGCAACCTCATGGCAAATGCTTGCTGATCCATGACGAGGAAAAGTTCGACAAGTCCGTCTTGCCCAAGTACTTTTGCCGTCTCAAGTTCACAAGCTTCCAGAGGCAGCTGCATTTCCATGGTTTCAAGCGCCTCTGCAAACAGGGTAAGTTACCGTGGGCGCTGAAGTCTCTCGGTCGCCAGAGATTGCGTCTTATACCGTATTCCTAACCCTAGTGTACTTCAAATACCTCTTATGGCCGGTTTAAATCCTCGTGTGCTCTTCAACTTCACCAGGCCCTGACAAAGGTGGTAAGTGTGGGTTCATTAAGCCTCTCTCCGTCCACATCGCCTCCTGCACGGAACAAATCTAACTCATCCCTGAACTTCTCTCTCTCGGGCATTGTTTTGTTTGCAGCCTACTACCATGAGCTCTTTGCTCGAGGCATGCCGGAATTGGCCACCTACATTCAGCGGGTCAAGAGCACCAAGGGAATGAGAGGCCGCAAGCGCAAGTCCCAAGATCAGGAACCCGACTTTTACAAGCAAGGCGCCATTACCATGCACGAGGCAATTGCCAGGGCCACAGCCAACGGCACCCTGACCGGAAACGACTCCCCATTGATGGCTGCCACCAATCGAAACAGCTCGATGGTGGAAGCATCCGTCAACTTGCCGCCAATGGCATCCCAGTTGAACGACATGTCGGATATTGTCCGCCTCGAGCCTACTCCCCTTGCACCCGGTCGGGGCCAGCGCAACCTGCACGCAGGTCTGCCCGCAGGTCTGCCCGCATCGGAATCCAAGCAAGACCCGGACAGCGTTTCCAGGGACGATGGTGGGGTTGCCAAGCTGCCCACCCGCATGGAACTGTCCGCTTTGCAAATGATGCAAGGAGGCGCCGCAAGCTCGGATCAAGGTCTCGGCATGGAACGGGGCGCGGGGTTCCTCTCTGGAGGTGCCAATTTGGGTATGCCTTCGGGCCCCCGAAGTGATGATGAGCTCCTCATGATGTTTGGAAATACCGTTGACCGGGCAAACAACGAAGGTGTGCCAATGAACCTCAACCACGCTCCTGCCTCCTCCCTCCCACTGGCACTCGCCAACAGTGATCTCGACATGTCTGCCAATAATGGAGCACAGCAGCTGATGTTCCCAAGCACAATGGAACAGCAGCAACAGCGACTTCAGCAGCAAGCCGACATGGAAGATCAGCTGCAGCAACACATCCTGCGTCAGATGGATGAACAAAGACGAAGAAGAGTATAGTCGAGTCGCTGGGCACTGCGCACACTCTTATGCAGCGAGTGTGATGAGGCACTTATTACAGTGTGCGATCAGAGTGCTTGTTTTAGCTTGCCTCTCAAGGACAGTGAAACTTTCGCGATGATACCAACTCCCAAAGGCAGCTTTTAAAGTCAGGTAGATATGGTTTAAATCCGTAAATCGTAATATAAGTCCAGCAGTATAATTACCTCAACTACGCTCTTGGTCTCCCATATTGTCCTGTACCAAAATTGCTGTTTGTTCCAGAGATTTGATTTATGGAAGTCATTTGTGCTCGTGAGCAGGAGAAGTAAAGGACTAAATCTGGCACCTTGTGGTCGCTGCTTCAAAAAAGCGGCACTGGCAGCTATTAGCTAGTTCAGTTTGGCTCTTACGATGAATGTAGTTGCTTGCGTTTTAAGCAGCCCTCTCTTTTGTTGCTCACTCCTACGATCTCTACCACAAAAAGAAGGGTTTTAGCAACCATCCACAAAGAAACAGTTGAGGAAAATAAAGAAGAACTATCATGTGTTGTTATAAACAATCTGAGGTGGGAAATGTGTGGAGTGGTCAAAGAATATTATTGTGTGTGATGCCAGGCGTCTTGAGTAAATGTAGCAACTGAAAGTGCTGTTGCCAATGGATCCTCTGGATGGAAGCGTTGGAGGTGCCTTTTTCTCATCCCCTTGCCTTTTGGTCTCTTGTGTGGTTGACAGAGCCAGATGGATGTGCCTCGTCGTGCAGGCGGGTTCATCCAACCCATGGACCGCGATGCGAAGCCAGGGAAGGCTGAGGCTTGGTGGAGGGCCCAATCAGTCGGCAGCCGAAGCCAAGTGACTTGTTAACAGTAGGAGTCCAACAAGATCCCCACAAAGTCAGATCCTGAAGAACAGGAAGCAGAGGGAGCGGCGAGCGAGCACAAGCGATGTGAATTAATGATTCTTAGGAATCCTCCTCCTCTTCCTCCGGGGTTTTGGTAAGCACCGGGTGGTAACGTACCACTGTAGCTCTGATGCTGATCTCGCAGAGCCATTCTCTCGAGAAGCTCTTCTTGATGTTGTTGCAAGAGTCCAGCTTCAAGCGAGGTCGGATCCAATTGCTGCGGAAATTGTTGCTGCTGATGTTGGCTGCTGCTGCTGCTGTTGTTGCATGGCAAAGAGAGCTTCGGATCGCTCTTGAATCATGGATTGCATGTTTGCTGGCATCTGATTGTGGAGCGATCCAAGCTGCTGTTGGTGTTGTTGAAGGCGTCTTTGTTCATCCATCTGACGCAGGATGTGTTGCTGCAGCTGATCTTCCCCATGTCGGCTTGCTGCTGAAGTCGCTGTTGCTGCTGTTCCATTGTGCTTGGGAACATCAGCTGCTGTGCTCCATTATTGGCAGACATGTCGAGATCACTGTTGGCGAGTGCCAGTGGGAGGGAGGAGGCAGGAGCGTGGTTGAGGTTCATTGGCACACCTTCGTTGTTTGCCCGGTCAACGGTATTTCCAAACATCATGAGGAGCTCATCATCACTTCGGGGGCCCGAAGGCATACCCAAATTGGCACCTCCAGAGAGGAACCCCGCGCCCCGTTCCATGCCGAGACCTTGATCCGAGCTTGCGGCGCCTCCTTGCATCATTTGCAAAGCGGACAGTTCCATGCGGGTGGGCAGCTTGGCAACCCCACCATCATCCCTGGAAACGCTGTCCGGGTCTTGCTTGGATTCCGATGCGGGCAGACCTGCGGGCAGACCTGCGTGCAGGTTGCGCTGGCCCCGACCGGGTGCAAGGGGAGTAGGCTCGAGGCGGACAATATCCGACATGTCGTTCAACTGGGATGCCATTGGCGGCAAGTTGACGGATGATTCCACCATCGAGCTGTTTCGATTGGTGGCAGCCATCAATGGGGAGTCGTTTCCGGTCAGGGTGCCGTTGGCTGTGGCCCTGGCAATTGCCTCGTGCATGGTAATGGCGCCTTGCTTGTAAAAGTCGGGTTCCTGATCTTGGGACTTGCGCTTGCGGCCTCTCATTCCCTTGGTGCTCTTGACCCGCTGAATGTAGGTGGCCAATTCCGGCATGCCTCGAGCAAAGAGCTCATGGTAGTAGGCTGCAAACAAAACAATTTG